ACTGTGATGAAAGATGGATGCATCACCAGACCAAGCAAAAGCATCTCATCTTAATGTCAGTCTCAGTACCTAGAGAACACTAGAGTCCACATTAGAATGATCTAGATGAAGATCAAAAGTAACCAAAGTTTAAAGGTATAGGGAATTGCTTCTCATGTTTCCACAACATATTTACCCTCACTCAGTACTTTTCCAGTGTATCTGTGTGCCAGGACACAACAGCAAACAAAATTTGGCTTCTGCTCTCAAGGGACCCAAGAGTCTTGAAGGAAGCTGGTACTAAATAAGAAATCATAATAGAAATAATAAAAAATAGAGACTATGGGATCCCATATTCACAGCAGGGACCCCTTACTTACATCAGAGAAGCCTAGAACAAAGTTCCATGGAGCCCTGAAAAATGACCACACTCACCAAGAGGTAATTAAAAGTGGCAAAGCCAAGTAATGCTAGTGTGGAGCAGGCCAGTCTGGCTGAGCACTTGGTACTCTAGTAGACATTTTTATGACATTAAGTTCTGAAGCTGGCCCCGCCCGACTCCTGCTAGATCGGTAGCAGTCAGAGCAGCCAAGTGGACAGTGCAGCAGGGGATAAAGTTAGAAGAGTCAGCCGGGGAGGTCAGCCTGCTCTACAGGGCAGCTCCAGGACAGCCAGTCACACAGTGAGACCCTGCCTGTGAAAACTAAACAAGAGTTGATTACGTCACACCACCAGTTGGCACAGGAAAACAAGTGTCCAAGAAGGAAACCAATGGCCTAGCATTGGCTCCGTGTTCTTGAAACTGACTGCAGGGAGACCTGGCTACAATCACGTGAGCTGACCTTTGGCCTGGACCAAACTAGGTTTCTGAAACAGTTTTACAACCTGTTACCCACACAGTATACTGACACTTTCATCCAAACTCCCCTGAGATAATTTTCTTATGAGAAAACTTAACGTTTGGTAGCATCAACTATATATATATCCCTGTAAGTGATCTGTTTTCAACCTTTCTTGTGGTTTAAAACTGTAAAGAGGTCATCTTGTAAAAACTCAATACACCATTCAAATCTATTTGCCTTTCAGTATCTGGGATCACAATCCTAATTAGCACTAAATACATGTAATTTTTCTTTTTTTCATCTAGCTAAATTTGTAGACAATTGGTAATTGTCTAATGATAAATAATTTGATTAACAGTTTCCACTGTGGTGTAGATGTCTAGAAGGATCAACAAAGTTTAAAAAGCCCTGTAGGCTATAGCTCCAGTTTTGAGCTATAAATTTATTTCTTTATTTCCTTTCTAGAACTCCAACTTCTTTAATTTTTTCACCAGTCATGTTGAGTTTAGACTTAACCTGAGGACCAGGGGGTGGTTAAGTACTAAGGAAAGAGCAGTAGACAGACTCAGTATATTAAAAGAACAGATTTAGTAATGGAAAACAAAGGGCTTTAGTCTAGACTTGTATTTAAAGAAATAAAAGGGGCTGGAAAGATGTTTCTGCAGTCAAGAGTGCAACTGCTCTTGCTTAAGACCCAAAGTCAGTTCCCAGCAGCCACGCTAGGTGGCTCACATTCACTGTACTCCAGCCCAAGGCAGGACCCATGAGCACTCACATGCACACATCCACACCAGAAATAAAACAGGGTCTGTAGAAGACGGCTCAGCAATTAAGAGCACTTGCTGTCTTGCAGAGAACCCAGGTTCAGTTCCTAGCACCCACATGGTGGCTTACTCACAACCATTCTAAACTCCAGTTAAAGGGACTCCAATGCCTTCTGACCCTTGCCAGCACTAGGGGCACATGTTACATGTGGTATGCATACATACATGCAGGCAAAACACATTAAAGAAAAATGCAAAATAAAACGTTTTGGTTTTTTTTTTTAAACTAAAAGTTTTAATAGGCTAAAATGAAGCCAGGCACCTCTATCCCAGTATTTGGGAAGCAAAATTCAAGTCCAGACTCTGCCACATGAGTTCCAGGCCAGCCTGGGCCGAATCACAAATAAAAAGACTAAAATGAAATTAAGTGAGCAAACAAAGTTTCTACCGCTAGTTCTAAAATTTACCCAAATCTATATACTCATCATGTAGTCTTTAGTGATTTTAAACAATAGGCATAAAAATACAAGTGTGGAGCCCAGTTCCAATAAATACATCTGTGAAAACACTTCCGCATCGAAGGCTTGGAGAACACTGTGGAAGAAGGCGAGGAGAGACTGTAAGAGCCAGAGGAACAGGGAATTTGCTGAGAATGTGTCTCCCGGCAACATCAGAAGCTACCCCCATAAAGTCTCACCAGCATGACTGTCGGAATGTAAGCTGAACAAGGAGGGGTACCAATGGACACGATAAAATGAATGGAAAAAGCTCATGGGGGTTCAACCCTACAAAAAAAGAGCTGCAGGCAACTGAGGAAAGCTGGATCGGGAGATGGTCTTCCCCAACACCAACTGGTTGCTCAGTGCCAATGTTCAGCCTTGAAAACAGACATACAAATAACATGGGACGAGTGGGTTATATTTAATACATATGTATGTAGATAAACATATGCACACAATAACAGTTAATAAAAAGAGGCCATGAATTTAAGGACAGTGGGAGGGTGTCTGTGGGAGAGAGTGAAGGAAGGAGGAAAGGGAGAGGAGAACCGCTATGTCCAAACCTCAAAAAATTAAGAAACGAACTATAAAAAAAAAATGTAGGAAGCATGTCTTCAAGTATCAAAATGACTGTTGAAAATTAATAGGCCAGGTGGGCAAGGTGGTATGTGCCTTTAATCTCAGCAAGTCCTGTGAATTCCAGGCCAGCCAAGGCTATACAGAGACCATGTTGCAAAACCAACACACACACACACACACACACACACACACACACACACACACACACACACACACACACGCACTCCAACCCCATAAATGGGTAAATTCAAACAGAAACAGATGAAGTCTGAGATCGGTTTCATGGAATTTAAATTTAAGTCTTAAAAAAACAAACATTCTAGCACTGTGCTGTCCAGTAAGGATACACACCGCAAGTTTCTGAGTACAAAGGGCCTTTTAGAAGGCACAAAGCCGTATCTATTAGAAAGGCCTCTAACTCCAGTTCCCGGTGACCAGATACCCTCCAGACTTCTCAAGAATGCCTAAACATAGCATCCACTCCCATAAACACACACATAAATGTGGGTGGGGTGGGGTGGGGTGGGGTGGGGTGAGATGGGGAAGATTCTAGAGATTTTAGAAGTTTACAAGTATAGGCACCTTGATATGAGAAAAATTCCGGGCAAAGTCCCTATTTATGAAGCTGTAGCACCGTTGTTTTGTTTTGCTTTTCTTTTTTTTGGTTTTCCGAGACAGGGTTTCTCTGTGTAGCTTTGCGCCTTTCCTGGAGCTCACTTGGTAGCCCAGACTGGCCTCGAACTCACAGAGATCCGCCTGCCTCTGCCTCCCGAGTGCTGGGATTAAAGGCGTGCGCCACCAACGCCCGGCTTGTTTTGCTTTTCATAAGTGGGAAAGAATGTGCTGGGGCACCAACCCAAACTATTACTTCATTATCTAGAAACTTTTTTTTAATTATGTAGTGTTCTGTCTGCATGTATGCATGCAGGCCAGAAGAGGGCGACAGGTCTCATTATAGATGGTTGTGAGCCACCATGTGGTTGCTGGGAATTGGAAGTCAGGACCTCTGGAAGAACAGCTAGTGCTCTTAACCTTTGAGCCATCTCTCCAGCCCCCTAGAAACTTTTGTTGTGGTCCAAGACAGCATTTTATTATTATAAAAGGTACACACCACTTTTCCTGAGGCTCTTACCATGCAGAGACAAAATGGTAGCGTAATTAGCCAAATCTATCAAACAAAAAGTGATAAACTGTTTGCCTTCAATTTTGGCGCTCTCCAAAGTTATCGTGGCATCAAAGACTACCAGCTAGTACCGATCGGTACTCGCCCACACCCGTAACCCGAAATTCTAGGCAAGCCTGGACCACAAATCTATCGAGCACTTGATCAAAACAAAAAGTCTGGACCTACAGTCATATTACTATTAAACTATTAACCTTACGGCAAAGGAGATTATTGGTGTATTAATCTTACCAGAATCAACAAGACTTGGGTTGAAAAATTCTGCTAGATTTTCCTGATTGTTTACCTATCACAGTTTCTACGCACTTCGTTATTTTTTGGCCATTTCTCCTCTGGAGTACCTTCCCACTCTGCTACTTTCCTCCAGTCCCGGGGCCATTTCTGGGTATTTCCGGAGGCCCCGGGTGCTTAGGGTCCAATGCACGTCTCCCCGCGCTGGGACCACGTGTGCAGGATCCAGGACCCAGGCGCCATCGTGAGGTAGCGAGCAGGGCACTGGAGCAGGAAGGCTACAATCCGACCCCGGGGCTGCACGTGTCCGCGTCAAGCATGCTAACTTCCTGCTGGGGGATAGGGCGACTCTAGCGGGTCCGAAAGCCGGCTACTCACCCTCAGCTGTCGCCATCATCCGAGGTGGGTTGGAAGTGTAGTCCGCGCGGGAAAGAGCAGCAGCGCCCTGGAAAACAAGAGCGATCAGAGGCTTAGCGGAGCGGGGAAGGGCGGTGCAACGCACAGACACGCCCCCAGACAGAGCGGCTAGCTCAGATCCGTCTGTGTTCCCCTAAGGTGACCGCCAAGTCCTGGACTGGCCGCAGCCGGGGCTGGGATCGCCACCCCGGGCTTCCCGCCGCGCAGGCGCGCTGACGCGACCCCGCTTCCGGGCGGCCCTGCGTCGTAGTTCCCAGCCGCGGAAAGTGGCGCGCAGGCTGCAGCCCCCGCCGGCCGGCGGGGAAAGGGTTCTGGGTCGGAGCGAACCAAGTCCCGACGGCCGGGGGAAGGCGTGCGACCAGGGGCACGCACAGCTCACATCTTCTGGGGGAAAAACACCACTCAAGGAACTCCTCTCATCACCTAGGTCGCGGAGCGGGAAGATAACGGAGACTTCCACGTGCAGGAAGACGAGCGCTCCGGACCTCTCCCGCGGAGAACTGACCCCACCCCCTTGGCTCCATAGCCCCGCCCCCGCCCCGTGCCGTAGCTGATTGGCGGGGCGCTGGAGGCCGAGCTGGCCACGCCCCCTGGGGGAAGCGCGCGCCGCCGCAGTAGCGAGAACCTAGCCCGCGGGGAAGGAGGAGGCAGTAGTGAGAGGTTCTGAAGCCTGCTAGAGAGGAGCGGACAGCTGGTTGGCGCTCGGACCACGCCGCGGCAGCAGGTCCCTCCACGTGCTCTCGGCGGCGCCATGGAACTGGAGGAGTTGGGGATCCGTGAGGAATGTGGCGTGTTCGGATGCATCGCTTCTGGAGAGTGGCCCACGCAGCTGGATGTGCCGCATGTGATCACTCTGGGACTCGTGGGGCTGCAGCACCGGTGAGCAACAGGATGAGGGGTGGGGGTGGAGTGGCCAGTCTTTTGCACAGCTCCGCGAGCCGCTTCTCAGCTCAGGAGCTATGGACACCGCAGGACTAGGAGGCTGGATCTCGCGGATCAGGCAGGACCAGTACCTGCTCAGGGCACATTGATCCAGTGGGGGTGGGGTACACCTTGCCTCATAGACATTAACCTAGCCTGTCGCGTTCCTCCCTAAACTAAATGCCCTTTACTGGTTAACTCCAAGAATGTGCACCTCTCCTGCGGGTTTGTTAGGCTCGAGTTTGCTTACACTAGCCGGGTTGGGAAGGAATCCTTCAGATCTCCTTGAACCTAGAACTGTTCTTGAGATAAGCTTTTGTAAGGTGGTGGCTGGTGAAGGTCCTCCAACATTTTTATTTTTTTTGCGGGTGGCCTCCAGCTTGCAGAATCTTTGTTTGCAAGGGCAGAGCTATTGAGCAGATTGTCAGCCTGAAAGTTCACGGTTACAGGTTTGGGGGTTATGAGTTTGAAAGTAGTTACAGCTATGGGAATTTGGGGAATCCAGAGTTCAGATCCAGGGAAATAGGACTAGTACATATCCCAAACGAGTCATAGTAGTAGTAGATTTCATGTACGTTAACTCAAACCATAGGGCGAAGATTGATTGGTAAAATTTTAATATAATAAATGAAAATAGTAAGAGCCAATAGCGTACTCCCTTCTTTAACGGGGGAGAGGAGTAGTGCTTGATGTCAAGATACATATTGACTTGGAAAAATTGGGATATGCCTTCGAAGTAAACAAAACAAAAAAGCCTTTGCTTCCATAATCTTTTGGTTTTTTACCACCTGACTTAACTGGCAGTAGAAGGAAATTATACAAACTAGGATTTGCATGTCTCCCCAAAGTATCACAACGTTTCATAAGACAATACAGTAGCGACAACTTCTAGAACACACCTGGGCAATAATATCAGCAATGTGGGTGCCACATGGATGAATGCATTCCTAATGATTACCTTTCCCTTGCCAAACTTAACTTAGAAGTAGTCTTTTTGTTTTTTTCTCAGCCCCAAATCTTTGTTTTGAGTTTCGCATTCTGTTACTCCTTGTTTACTAAAAAGCATCTGGGAGCGGGTGGTGGTGGTGGTGGGACACACCTTTAAATCCCAGCACTGGGGAGGCAGAGGAGGCGGATCTCTGTGAGTTTAAGGCCAGCCTGGTCTACAGAGCTGGTTCTAGGACAGCCAGGGCTACACAGAGAAACCCTGTCTTTAAAAAAAAAAAAAAAAAAAAATGCATCTAGGATGAATCAATACAATTTTTTTTTTACTTTGAGTAGCTGTCTTGAATAATTATGAGTTGACCTTGTAATAGAGTTCTCATTTTTAAAAATGCACAAACTGAGCATGTTCAATTTACGTATTTAGAACGGGTGGTGGTGGTGGTGGTGGAGGTGAAGGTTCACGCCTTTAATCCTAGCACTCAGGAGGCAGAGGTAGGCAAATCTCTGAGTTCAAGGCCAGCCTGGGCTTCAGACCTAGTTCTAGGAAAGGTTCCAAAGCTACGCAGAGAAACGCTGTCTCAAAAAACAAAACAAAAAAGAAATACACACACACACACACACACACACACACACACACCTATGTAACAACAATTAATGAAAAAGAAGGGGTATGTAGGAGGCTTTGGAGGGTAGAAGGGAAAGGGGGGTTGATATAATCTTAAAAAAATTGTTGAGAGCTGGGAATGTGCTCAATGGTAGAACACTTGCCTAGGTTCAGTCCTTAGTACTTAAAAAAACAAATCCAAAGAGAAATTGAAGTCTGCTTGTGTGATTCTGAGGAGCAGTAGTCTCTAACACTGTTAGATGATATTTTGAATGCCATTAGGAGCAGTGGGAATGGCCCTAGAGAATGCTAGACAGTGGATGAAAGCGAGGCCATCTTTTTCCTAACTGCGCCGTTTTGGTCCATTGCTCAGAAAGCTTCCCTCAGCCTTCATTTTTCATTCGTGTCCGTAGCTCTTCACATGCGCAGCTGAGGGAAAGTTACATGCCCTATGTTGTGTTCGCTCTAGTTGCTCTTCTATGAAGGAACTGTGAGATTAGATAATGTAAGGACGATAAAGATAAGTGGTATCAATGGGTTGTATTATACAGTGGAGAGTGTAATCTCAGCGTTGGCAAAAACAGAGGAGTCTCGCTACCAAGGGAGGGAGGAATTGCTTTATTAGGGTGGCTATTTAATTAAACCAAGCAAGTCTTTGTTAGGAGACTAGTGTTGAAATTAGGACTGTGGTATTTCTTTTTCTGCTTTTGATGAGCAACGATAAGCTAGTTTCTGGGGGTTTACATGTACTAGAGAACAACTTATGATTTTTCTTGACTAAGAATGACATCATTAAGGTTTACCTAATTCTCAGTACAGATCCTAGGCAAAGCAAAATTTTGAATTAGTGAAAGGTCCTTACTTTGGTAGAATTGATATTAATTGGAAAATGAGTGGAGCAGCCTTATGTTTAGAAGATATAATAATTGCCCACTTACCCTAAAATAGCAGATCAGGGGTCAAAGAAAAATTAAGAATATGTTTTGAGGGAAGGCATGCTCAGGATTGTACAAGGGCCTCACATTGGCTAAGCACACACTGTTCCACCAAGTTACACACCCAGCCCAAGAGCTGATGTATGTATGGCATTGAACATGGGAATATTAAAACCTTACACCTAGAAAGGTGGCCATAGGTAGATATATAGTAGAATTATAGACACTATTTCTTCATAAGAGGCGTAGTTTATTGTAGAAGCCTCCAATTTTACTTATCACATGAGGATGTACTCAAATAAATTGAAAACATCAGGTCTGGTAGTTTGTAGAGTTATGAACAAACTAGACATCTCTAGTAGATGACTTTTCTCTTTAAGTCATCCTCATATCTTATGGAGAGTAGAATGGGCTGGACCTATTTAAAATTACATAAAAGGAATTACTAGACACATGCCATGAACCCTTGCTTAAAGATTCATTGTATAGTGTGGATATGGTTTATCCTCCAAAGGTTGGTGTGTGTTGGAAGTGGCCCTCCGTGTAGCAGTACTCTACTGGTATCTTTTTTTGTTTGTTTCTTTGTTTGTTTTTTCTTTCGAGACTAGGTTTCTCTGTGTAGCTTTGCGCCTGTCCTGGATCTAGCTCTGTAGACCAGGCTGGCCTTGAACTCACAGAGATCCACCTGGTTCTGCCTCCCAAGTGCTGGGATTAAAGGCGTGCGCCACCACTTCCCAGCTCTACTGGTATCTTTTAAGATATGGGAGCCAGAGGCAGGTGGATCTCTGAGTTCAGGGCCAGTCTGGTGTGCAGGGGTAATTCCAGGACAGCCAGGGCTACAGAGAAACTCTTGTCTTGAAAAACCAAAAAGAAAAGAGAGAGAGAGAGAAAGTTTGCAGGAAGGTGAGTGGCTGGGTATTGTGGATTAATGGTGGTCTCCCTGCGTTAGTTCTCTGAGAGCAAGTTGTTATTATAAGAGTGAGCCTGACCCTTGAATTCTTTTGGCATTCTGTCCAACTATGCTTTCCTTCTTTTCCTCCCTCCTCATTAATCTTGACTCTTACCATAGAGTCATCCACAAGTTCAAGGTCTAATTGGTCTGCAGAGTGAGTTCCAGGATAGCCAAGGCTACACAGAGAAACCCTGTCTCAAAAAACCAAAAGAAAACCAAAACCAAAAAAGTACAAAATACCTTGCCTGATGTATTTTGTTATAGTAACTGAAAATAGATGGTGAACTTCGTTAGATAGGAGATGAGTGTGCCCTATGTCAGTGAGTTATCAAGGCCCCAGGACAGGAATCAAAATCAACAACTAATAGATATTTTCAGACTCCTAAAAACTTCTGAAGTTTACCTGATGAAGTTGAGGGTCCTGTTGGAAGAAACATTCTGTAGAATCTTCCAGTTCTGTTTTAAGCTTTCAGGAAACTGATTTATTTATAATGATCTCAGGAGAAGTTTTCTTGAGAGATGTAGACACTGGTTCAGCACCAGCACCAGAAAAGCACCCAGTAGGGAAAAACAGCCCCCCGTGGGAAGCAGTATATTGAGGAACACAGTAGGAGCTTCTCGGGGACCTTGTTTGGGGTTCCAGAGAAAGGTTGGTGATGTTAACCATGAAGATGAAACACCAGCTTCGTCTTGGGCAATTCTCATAACCCTCTAGGTGTGTTTTCTCATAGCTTGGCTACACCTAAGTATTTAATTGTAAAGTTCTAGTGTTGAGATGTAGTTGGTTCAGAATAATGCTTTTATGCTATTAAGCCAGCGGCAATTTCTCTTCCGTGAGGGATTCACTGGAGGTTAAGGGGGGAGGGGGTGACAACTCATCTGACCTACATTTTATAAATAAAAAAAGGAATAGATTTTCACCTGACTTGAGTTAAAAGAGTTGGGAAGTGGGGGGATCGGGATCAAGTTTCCTCTTCTCCAGTACTGTTTCACGCCCCTTCAGCTCGGGGATATATTTTCCAAAAAGTGCATCATGGGGCTGTTTTGTTGCTGTGCTCATCACAGCTCTTAGCATACACTCTTGTTCAGGTCAGTCACTCAACAGAGTGTTTGGAGCCAATCAAGAGACTTGGTAAACATTAGATGTAGGAGGCTGCTGCCCGGGTAACACAGCCTGGTTGTTTTACATCATGGAGCCCTTTTATAAATAGCAGGGCACTAAAATAATGATGAAAAGTACAGCCTATAGCAAACTACAGGAACTAGTAACATTGTAGTCTGCTACCATTACCGGGTGTTATATACTTGATTTTAGCAGCCCGGGGGTCCAGCCCTCAGAGCCACTACCCAGGGTAACTTCAGAGAATGCCTCTCAGGAGCGAAGATTGAAAGATTTCTATAATAATTTCACACCCACTGGCAAAGTGGTCTTAATCTATTGTACTCTTTATTGTTCCGTGTTCTTATCTCTTCTTCCTCTTTTTTCTTCTCTTTATTCTACCCATTACAAATTCCCAAGCCT